AAGGAAAGGTAGTCCTTGTTTTATGGAATATGTTTTGTAAGAAAGTCAATAGTGGGTGGATATGTATGGTCCTCTACTAACTTTGGAAAAGCTTACGTAGATATATGTGTGTATGCTTTTAAAAAGCTAAATATACTGCAGCTGAACCTTATTTTTTCTCTCTAAAAGTTTCAAATCCTAACAAGAGAGACCATGATATGTTATCTACGTTGCAACTCAAAAATACAATAGATATCTTAAATTAGCTTAACAAAGGTAAATATATATATATATATAGCCCTAGGCTCTAATGTCTCTGTGAACTACTCCTACTCCTACGACCTTACTATATTCTACTTTCATTGCTTTAGTTAAAATTACTAGTATAAATACCAAACAAACTCTTTTGAAACTGAACAATACTTGTTAGCATAATTATAGCAGTTAAGTCACTATATATCTTGTCAGCGACTAAGTCCCAATGAGATTGATAAAACTAAATTTCCTGACAATTACTTTATTACTTTCAACCACGTACACACTTGCATGTATATTGGGACACAATAAGTTTCGGCATTGTTGTTGGGGAATTAAAGTATTGATAAGCTTAAGATTTTGTTATTGTATTTTTTTTAACAGGTGTTAACGACTTGATCTTAGTTTTACTATTGTAGATAGCATGATGTATTCAAAACTCTAATAGTGAGGCAATCCCTTCTAATTAGTTGAAAGGAACCGACACCCAAAATATTTGTCATCAAAGGCTTAGGGGGGAAACCTTGTTGCAAGTACAACACAACCAACCAGAACCCACACTAAGACCAGCTGACCCAACAATTCCGTTAGCAGTGTATGAAGTGACAGACCCACTCGGACCACTCCACATGAGAACCCGCAAGATCATCTCCAAAATTTCATAGAGATTGCAGACGTACACTTATGTCATATAAGATGTCTCATCGGACTATGTGGCACGCACCCTGTTACCATTCTCACTTTTAAGGGAACCAAGAGGTGTCTTAAAGTTGAACCTGTCAATTCTATCACTTCATGGGATGATCTTGAAAAAAGATTCATTTCAAGATTCTTTCCGTATGGAAAGACAACCAAGTTAAGAAGTGAAACATTGGGTTTAAGACAGAAGGAAATCATGGGAATATTTCAATACGTTATTGCTGAGTTGTACCCATCATTATCAGAATCAGGAAGTTCTAGCTCACACTTCTATTGAATGTTTAGACATTCTCTCTAAATTTTTTCTTGATTTAGCTACAATTGGACGGACACTTGAGAAAACAAATGATGAGTTGGTGCTACTCTCAAATAGGTTGGAAGCCAATAATTCTGAGTTGATTAGTGAATCCAATAGAGGTAGATGGTATAACTGGAATGCAAACACAAATAGCAGCAATGAACAAAAAATTTAGTCATCTGAAAAAATTCTTAGTGGTCAGACTTAGATGCAAACTCTAGTTTAGCAGCTGCTGCATCCTTAGTTGTTGTGTGATGTTTATGGAGGTGAACATATGGTTAATGTGTGTAGATCTAATCCAAAATTCATGTAATTTATGGACAACGTAGGTAGAGAGACGCACAATATCAAAACTTTGGAAAAACTTATAATCCAAATTGGAGGAACTACCCTAACTTCTCATGGGGTAGCACTCACAATCAAAACCAATATAGACCATAGCTAGGGCCAACAACAAGGCTATCAGCAGAACAAAGGTTATTCAGGTCAGGGTCAGGTAGGCGAGATCAAAGAGATATTGAAAATGTTGGAGGATGAGAAGCAGAAACAATCAGCTACTGCAAAATATCAATCCGTCATCTTGAAAGATGGATGGGTCATATGGTTAGAGCTCAGAACACTAGAATTTAATGAGGTCTACCGTGCTACGTGGACCCTAACCCAAAAAAGGATTAATGTTGTGACAATACGAAGGGGTAAAGATCTAGGCGAAAGAGCACCAAATAAATTAGCTGACAGAGCAATTGAGGTGAAAAAAGAAAGAGTATTAAAGCAGCCTATACTGGTAGCTACTAGACCCCCTTTCCATTCATACACATTAGGTTGAACAAACAAAAAGAGGAGGCAACATTTTTAAAATCATTTGATCTACTGAAGCAAGTAACCATTAATTTACATCTTATTGATATGGTGCATGACATTCTCCAATATTTGAAGGATATAGTGGCCGGCCGGCCAGCAAGTGAAGACAAAAAGAGTATGCAATGCTAGCTATGACAGAGTAATGCTCGTCTTGGATCCAAAATAGATTGCTGAGGAAGATGAATTACCCTGGAAGATTCGCCATTAAAGGTCCCACACCCCCTTCTACTTCTTAAAAAACCCCCCCAAAACTCTTTTGTTTTTTTCTCTCCCATACTCAAATTAAAATACTCCCTCCTCCTCCATTAAAACTCTTAAAAAATTTTACAAAAAATAGTACAATGGAGAATCCCTTCCAAAGTAACGGAAAGGGAAAGGCCACTGATGAGTAACATAGAAAATGGACTCACACAAGTTAAGCTTCGGACAATCAAGCCCCACCTCAGGCTCAGCTAGCCGCTCCTGCTAAACCAGATGCTCAAGTAGTGCATAAAAAGTATGGTACTAAATGGATGATGATAAAGGGGAAGAAATAGTTCAAAACATTCTCTCCCTGAGGCAAAGACATATAAAGCAAGACTATGGGCAGAGTTTTCAAATATCTGAGTTAGAGTACATAATATGGGGCTGCAGTTCATATTTTTCAGATTCAACTTGAGCCTAGTGAGGTAGTTATACGCTAACTGATAACCATTGGGGGAGCCCGATGAGTGTGTTACTCGAGGCTGAGATGTAAAGATTAATGTTAATAGATTATGCCGCAAATTAGGAACCCTCTTTAGGCGATCCTAGTACCTTGACTGAGATGTCTGTTGACGTATATTACCAGGACATCCATCACACTACTTGCTTTACTAGAGAAGCTCGATATTGGCTGAGGATTGTCTGTATATGGTTAGTGCCTTATGAGCACTATATAGCAATAACAAGGTAATCCATTCATATAAACAAGTTAATCACTTATCCAAAAAAAATTCAATTTTCTATATTTCGATAATCATTCATATAAACAAGTTAATCACTTATCCAAGAAAAAATAAATTTCTATTAGTGAATGGAGTATTTGTTTTTTATTGTGAACAAATGTATGAAAGTAAACATAAATGAAATTTTCCCTAGAATAAAAGAAGTAAATACCTGGTCATGCTATGGGCATGATCAAATGGAGAAACCAAAGCTAAAGAAGATCTATCAAGCTCTTCCTCCAAGTGTTGTTGTGTCATTTGCAACATGGACATTTTCTTACAAAACGAAATATTATTTTGTACCATTTCAAGCTCCTTCTCAAGTGCTTCAATTTCTGCCCTCAACTTTCTTTCAATTGCAAGACAACCATGCACAGGATTTTCCTTCCTAATCTTTGCCTCTAAAATTAGAGTTTCAACAAGTTTTGCTCTCTGATCATTAGCAACAGAATTAATATGCTTAATTGTATTATTTACTCCAAAAAGTCTATAAACATTTTGAAAATCTTCATCTTTAGTAGAAGGAAAATATGGAGCTAACTGACAATTTGGTTCACATTTTTTCCTTTGGTGCTTGCACGCTGCACATGTAGCAATAAACATCATATCAACATTCATATGCCTGCCTTCCACTTGAGAATTAATCTTAAATACTTGATTGAAAATGAAAATAAGTAAAGCTTTTTTTATTAATGATTTTCTTGTGAATATACAAAAATATATAGGGATATAACTATTTACTACTTCTATATAAAGTAGGTAACATTGGATTTGATCATGTTAATCAAAGGTTTCATTCATAAAAAGAAGAGATATGTAGTAGGAAAATCCTTCATGTTACTAAATATGTTCATACTTGCTTAATTACTTAAGAGGTTCATATAACATTATTATAGATCAAACTAAGGAGTGTGTAATTGAGAAAAAAAGAATGAAATATTAGCAGAAAAAATTAAATGTTACTTGCCTTTTGTTCTAATGATAAAAAAAAAGTTCAAATTATAGATTTTCTTAAAGGTTTAAGATTATGTCACGAATATGCTGAAATTTCTTCCAAAAACATAATTATTTTTTCCAAATAATAATAGGACATCAACCGTTTCAATCTATTATAGGACAATGATAGAGCTATCAATAACATAATCTTAAACCTTAAAAAAAAAATTATTCGAAACATAATCTTAAACTTCAAAAAAAATTATTTTGTCATGTCAATTTTTTTTAGTGATAAATTTAGTTAAATGATTTCATTGATACAAAGACTTAAGTTGAGTGATTTTAGATACAAAACAAAGTTCAAAGACTTTGCTAGATAAATTTTCAAACTTGAGTGACCTTTTGAGATATTAACTCACTTTAGTTAATAGGTAAACAATTATAGTGTGTACGATAACTACACCCCAATCCTATATTAATCGGGATACGCTTTATGAATAATTATTACTGTAAATATTATTTCCTTCGAATTCATAATATCCAATAAATTCTTTTCGGTAAACAAATTTTCATTTATACAAAAAGTGACATTAACATTTCAAGGATAGTCAACCCTACTTCAAGACCGAAACTTCACCCAAACAACTTTATCGAAGTAAATTCTCAACCACACGCTAATCGAAACAATCCTCAATTATCAAGAATGGAAAGAGTTCATCAAAGATAGGATTCGAAATTGGGGGTAAAATATTCTAGAATCACTTCGGAAATCAAAAGGGTAAAATCATATTTTTAGTTGAAAATCAAGTTCTACAAGCCAAGAGGAGTTTGTGGTTTAAAACCCCATTAAAAACAAGCAAGAATCGAGCTCTAAATCAAGAATTTACTATTTTTTCAACTTTGGGAGAAAAACCCCAAAACCCACATTTAAAATGCGGTAAAAAAGGAGAAATTTCGAAAAACTTTGTCAAAATCATTTTACCACAATATAAGGATCTTAAATCCCGATAATCAATGGAAACCTATTCCAAATCGACCTTCAAATTAACAATTTTTTATTTCTCTACTTTGGGGTTTAAATTTTCAACTTAATTGATAGAAATCATGAATTATGAAAGGGATATTCTTGAGAAAAGATTAAAATAGGGTTAGAAATATGTACCCAGTGATTATGTAAGAAAAACACATAAAAAATTCCCTCAAACTGACTTTTCTAGCTCCCAAAATATCAAAAATACGAAATGAGTTCGAATATATATTAACTCAGCTATTTCGTCACTAAAACGCATGTTTCGTCGCTAAATGTCTATTATTTGCCACTAAAAGTGTGCACTAGCAACCTTGAAAACATCTTTTGACCCTCAAAACTCATTCGGAATCCTATAAACACGAACGTACAGTGTAAATTCATCATAAAACTTGTTTTGGAACCAATGGAATCTTCGAATTTAAAAAAAAGATGGTTATGACCGAAATACCCCTTGGAACCCATATAGACAAAAATAACTTTTTACCTAAATATCCAAATCACAACCTAATTAAGGTCTCAGGAGTCTAACCGATCACCTTACTAGACCAAACTCGACATTCTGAACTGAATAAAACTTATGAAATCCCCATACGATGCTCGGAACTCATAATGTTGACCAAAGTCAACCATATAAAAAAAATCGACTCAAAAATGGCAAAATCACCAAAAACACATTTGATCACATTGGGAATCACACCAAACATTCCCGCAACCCAAACTAAGAATGAAAAAAGCCCTATATAATGATTTTTAACCCCCAAAATATCCAATTCAACTCATTCTCCTAAATTCTCCAAAATTGAACAAGTCAGCCTCTCCAATATTTCTCTCTCTAAGGAAGAAGAATGAAGCTAGAGTTCCAAGATCAAGTCTCCTAAATCCTCCATTGATTTCAAACTTTTGACATCAACACCTATGGAGCTCTTTCCTCCATATGGTTCCTAAATTCTCCAATTTACAAGTTAGAAATCTCCAATTGAAGTTAGAGTTTTCTTCCATGTCATGGATTCCTTTCAATAACTGAAGTTGATAAAACAAATCATCAATGCGCGAAAGAGGATATTTTTTCTTCACCATTACCTTGTTCAACTGCATATGGTCAATACACATCCTCATAGACCCATCCTCCTCATTTACAAATAAGACATGTGCACTCCAAGGTAACACACTAGGATGAATGAAACTCTTACTCAACAAGTCATGTGTTTCTTTAGTTCCTTAAACTCAGTTGGGGCCTTACGATAAGGAGGAATAGAAATGTGCTTAGTGCTCGGCTCCAAATCAATATCCCTATCGGGAGGAACACCTAGAAAATTAGTAGGGGTAAAACTTACAATTCACAGCCAACAAGTATCTCATATTTACCCCACGTTGTTATAGCCAAAGTTATTCATCATTAAACAATTCACAATGTATATAAAACCCTTTACCAATTTTCATTACTCCCAATCACACAAATGCATACAAGGTTCAATATACTTAACAAGGAATCAAAAGATCCACTTGCCTCAAGAAATCAATCAATTAATCACTTTGGAACTTGAGCTTTCCCTTTCAGACGGGTCTCCAAATCAACACAATCTTTTAAATATAAAATCACAATAAAAATTTGAAACAAACAATACTCATATAAAAGATTTTGAAAAATTGGGTCAAATCGACCTAAAAACTCATTCTCAAATACTAGGTTTAAATCTAGAATTTGTATCAATTCACGTTACCCAAAGGTTTTTGAAACCATTAGTGAAAATCACTTCAAAACCATGAGTTCTTAAAAATCTCCAAACTTTGAGTTCAAAATCAATAATTTGATGTTTAAAGTTACAAATGATAATTGAAGATTTAGGGTCACAAATACTTACCCAAAAGATTTATCATGAAAATCCCCTTTGAAATCGCCTCCCTAGAGTTCTCCAAGTTCAAAAATGGGGAAGATCCCCAATTTTGGAAAAACATAACATTGCCAGTAAATTACTCTCTACGAACGTGGACCTTGTGCGTAAACGTGGAGATCGGCCCTCACATGCGAACGTGGAGAGTACATACTCCACCTTCTGCAAACGTGACAACACTCCCGCGAATGAGGGGATCAACACTCTTACCCTCTGTGATCGCAGTCGAGCCTCCATAAACGCGGGGTCCCCACACAACACCCTTTGCGAATATAGTCACCATCTCCGCAAACGTGAAGTGTTTGGTACCAGATGATAGAATATTAGCAACACCAAATACCAAAACTTCACTGAATGATCCCTCAGGATTTTTTCGGAATGTCGTACACAAAAATTAAATATGCTACCCTACTAAATTCGACGTTCCAGACTCAATGGAACCATCGAAATATAGATTCGAGGTCTCTTTGATCTGAAACCGGTGAAAGTCATAATAATCTTCCTTAACACTAAAAAAAATACAAACTACCATCGGAACCTCTGAAAATCAACTAAGACCTCACTTATGCCAAAATCATCCCCCAAATCCAATGGAATCGTTGGAACTCCGATATAATCATCCATACTCCAAATGTTGACTAAAGTCAACTCATGGTCTAAATCCCCTTAAACTTCCAACTCAAGGCATTAAATCCACGAAACAACTCTGAAACGGAACAACAACACTCCTCTTAGACCAAATTCCACATTTCGGAGCTGATGGAACTGAGGAAATTCCATTTCAAGCCTCGAATCTCCAGTTTTTCCTAAAAACCACTTTTAACAACTTTAAACCATTTCAAACTCAAAACTTCCAAAATTTATAATTTTTCAATCAAATTACCAAACCAACTTCGAAAATTGATCAATCATGACTCAGGGCAACTATTTAAAGGGGTAAAATGGTAATTTTCTAAATATGACCTTCAGGGTCATTACATAAGCTCATACCACAAAAATTCCAACAAACAATAAAATAAACCAAACAATGATGAGAAAGAAGCGACTCTAAACACATTAGTATCTCACTTAGAACTTTGGGTCACTCTTATTTTCATCTGTAATTTCCATCTGAATCTACTTCTCATTTCTTGTTATTCATACCTTAACTCTCTGAGTGAATTTTTTTTCTAGGTTCTTGTGAAGAACTATCAAACTCACACCAAAAAAACTTCAATAATATCTACATCTATTGAACCACCAAAAGCTGACGTGAGAAGTAACCCTATGACCCTAGGAACTTTTGAGACCTGATGTCTTTGGTAAAAACAAAAAGTTGCAGCAATATAAATGAATTGTTTTTTCAAATTCAACCACAAAAACACTAACCAACCACAGAGCAGTATGTATATAGATCAATATTGAGGACCATTAAATAATTTAATTGATGCAGTCCAACCTGTTATTCATGATGTACAAAAGGCAACATCAGCTGAAAATATTAAATGCCAATAATACCCCTAAAATAGCTGGTTAAACTTGAGTTTTTTTACCATTAAAAAAGGAGTTCATCTTCAAAAGCATTAATGTACAAACAAACCAATGCAAGTAATAAAGGAAATCCTCAAACAACCCATAACCAAGGTAAACAAGGAGCTTAATTCTTCCTTCTATATAAGGCAAGTATAAGAGAGCTTGTGCTGAGCACGGGCCCAACACTGCAGGTTAGTCATTTCAGCTCATATAAACAAGATCAATTAAAATATTTGACAATTCTAATA